TCTGTCTGTCTGTCTGTCTGTCTGTCTGTCTGTCTGTCTGTCTGTCTCTGACCTCCCCCCTGCACCCCCCCCCCCGTGTGTCTGTCTGTCTGTCTGTCTGTCTGTCTGCACATATACACTCACAGCAAATGTTTTTAAAAAGAGCACTATGGAGTAATTTGAATTGTGGATTTTGATGTTCTTTTGTAGGAGTTCCATCTGGAATATGACAAATTAGAAGAGCGGCCTCACCTGCCGTCCACCTTCAACTACAACCCTGCTCAGCAAGCCTTCTAAAAAGACTTCCCTCTTCTCGGGGTATGGCTGTCTCAGCACAACACTCGACATAACTGCAGAACTGATGTGGCTCAGGCACCCTGGTTTTAATTCCCTGAGGATCTGGCAATTGGCTTACATAAAGGGTCACCATTTGAGGTCCTGCCTTACCAATTATGTGCTGCCCAACAACTAAATTTGTAATTTGTTTTCTCTAGTTTGAGCAGGGTCTGAATTTTTTCATTTATTTTCTTTTTGCCAGCAGACAGACTTGGGTCTATAAAGACAAGCAAGTACACTGACAGAAGTTACCATTTAGTTTCTTAAATGTAAAAAAAGAAAACCCACAAAAGACTCAACAAAATTAGACCACAAAATTTGCATTGTTCATTGTAGCACTATTGGTAATAAAAGAACAGATGTTTGTGCATTTTTATGTGAAGATCCTTCTCGTATTTCATTTGGAAAGATGAGCAAGGTCTGCTTCTTTCATTTTACTTCCCCTTCTGTTTCTGAAAGGCAGTTTCGCCAGGCTCACTGCAAGACTATGACTGTAGAGAGGTGGCCACAGTCTCTGGCGGCTCCAGGCTGTGCTCTTACTGAGCTTCATCTTTCCAGAATGAGCAAAACACTGTCCAGTCTTTGTTACGATTTTGTAATAAATGTGTACATTTTTTTTAAATTTTGGACATCACATGAATAAAGGTATGTATGTACGAATGTGTATATATTATATATATGACATCTATTTTGGAAAATGTTTGCCCTGCTGTACCTCATTTTTAGGAGGTGTGCATGGATGCAATATATGAAAATGGGACATTCTGGAACTGCTGGTCAGGGGACTTTGTCGCCCTGTGCACTAAAGGGCCAGATTTTCAGCAGCCAAGGACATCCATACCCAAGTGAATGTGATGGGGCTCCAAGACGTGAACTGAGACAATTCACTCTGGCTGTTTGAACAGCAGCGTTTCATAGGAAGAGAAAAAAGATCAATCTTGTATTTTCTGACCACATAAAGGCTTCTTCTCTTTGTAATAAAGTAGAAAAGCTCTCCTCACTGCAGTGTTGACTTTGATTTGAAATTGTGATATTTCTTCTTCAACATGAAAAACACAGAAAAAAACCCCTCAGGTTTTACAAATACACTGAATGGTGCGACTCAATCCCAATCCCAGTCCTCTTTTCAGCTGTCAGCAAGTCTGTCAGTGGGACAGCACTGGGCCCTTTACTAAGGATGGCGTCCTCAGCATAACCTAGGGGAACATTGGGTAGGTTGTAGCTACATTGCAAGTTAGCTCTCACCCGCCCAAGGTGGGACCCAACCAGAGAATTTGTTCTGTGAGAAATTGGTGAGGAATTTTGTGATAGAACTTTGAGATTTATTTAGTCTTTATGAAATTTACCTTCAGCTTGCTGACCTGGATGGTTCCTATTTGCAGGTGACTGAATTCTTAAACTGTCTAGAGGCTAAAGCCGCCAGGGGGACTCGAGATAGGGATATCAATTTTCAGTTTTTATTTTTAACCTGTTTTCCTAGTTGAGTGGGCGCTTACTGACATTGCCTAAGCAATGTTTGGAAAGTAACGTTTATGAGGTGTTGTGTTTGTGTACCAAGAACGTACAGGAACTTAAAAGTTCCTCTCTAAATATTAGACATAGCCAAAACCAATTTTTAAAAAAATACCATGGTTGTTAAAAACATTGCAGAATTTAGACTACCACCTCAGTCGTGAAGATGCCACTTCAGTAATTATAGTTTTAACTATTGTGACAAAAAACACAACAGACACTGTACTACTTAAGATCTGTTTCATCCAAACCGTTGATACCAGCTTCCTTCAAATAATGGTGAGGTGTATCTTAAATAGTTTGCTGTCTGTTGTGGTTTTTGACACTTACTGTGAACCTACTTTATAAAATAAGACTTTCCCTATGTAACCACTGGCAATTGGTGGGCAAGAGAAGACCGTGGAAGGGGAGCTCCAGTGACCGATGCAGCAGGTAAAGCACGAGATAACTCGGATCGTGTTTGTTACGCTGGGTATAATTCCGGACACTTCAGGTTTTCCAAGTTCTTTTTATTTCAGAGTCAAGACTCATCAAAATTAAGGAAAGTTGCTTGTTAAACGGGTTTTGGTTTTTATAATATGGTGATGTCAGAGGTCAACTTGACTTGCAATTCCAATTTAAAAAGTACATTTGAAATTCCATCCTACATACAAAGAAATTAGCCAAAACTATATATACATTCCACATTTCCCCCTTAGATTTATTTCTATTTCGTGGCTGTGTAGTTGACTTCCCCTTGTGAGGCAAATGGGTGCTATCTGGCCACAACTGCCACTGGACTTGTAACTGGCTTTGTTGAACAGAAGCTAATACCCTGCAAAAAGCAATCCTTTGATTGCTACTTGACCTACTTGAATGCAAAGATCTGCACTTGAGGTACACTGTAACATATATGGTAAAACTGTTTTCTGAAGATTTTTTGCTGAAAATTTCCTTCAGGCTAACCTTCCTTAAGAGCTGAAAGTATCTTACACTATCTACAAAAACCAACTGCTTATCCACAGGTATTTTATTAATACTTGTTGATGATTGGTATTTTTTTTATCATTTCAGTTTGAAAATGTACAAATTAAGTCATTTAGGCATTGAAATAGTTCTTTGCTGTAAATTGATTTTCATGAAAATCTTGAACATTTTCACTTAGCTTTCAAAACTCAGCTTTTTCCTGTGAACCGTCAAGTTGATACCCTTGAGTCCTTTCACACCCAAACAGGTCTTCCGATGTCTTTTACGCCTTTCCCGTAAAACATGAGGCGGTTGAGCATGACCCTGCAGGACTCAGTTCATTTATATTTGCGTTCATAGCGTCATTTCTGCACAATTTCTACCCCCCCTCCACACACACACACACGGAAACAGGAATGTAAATATTCTCAACTATGGTTTGTCTATGAGGTTTATAAAGACCTAGAAATATCTACTAACTAGATAATCCTTAAGTTCTGGGGCTATATGACCCTGCCATCTGTGAGGCTCTAAGTTAAAATCCCTGATACTGCACACACACTAAAATTCGAAACTAAGAAAGTAAATCTATTAAGACAAGGCAGACATTGAGATACATTTACTTTGAAAAACTGAGATTCTAATGGCATGCCCCCATGCTCCCCTCGCCAGTGGCATTTCACGGTGACTTGGATCATACTGTGAACAGATCTGGGAGATGAAACATATAAAGCCATTGCAAGAAAGAAAAAAAAAAACAGTAGTTTTAAATATCAGATTGAATCCGTTGGTATACATTATCTCAAGATCCTTAGTTTTCAGCTTGGATGGTTAAGGAAAAAAAAAAAAAACATGGCTTAAGAGTGGTTTATATGTCGGTCAAAATGATTCTATTTCTGCTGCCAGAGTAAAAATTACGTTGTACTCAGGATACGGTAAGAATTGCTTCAGTTATACTTCGGAAATGTTCTTTCCAGTTTAAATACTCTTTTGGATACTTGCTGCGTGTCCCTTCCTGCCTTCTGGCTGCCAAGTGACATACTAATTTTACAGACATGATTGTTTTGTATTTAAAGAAGAGCACCATGAGGTGAGGTGGGGTTTAGTGTCTCACATTTTATAGACGTCTTCAGATGTCACTGGAGAGAAAAGACTTTGGGAACTATTTTCCTAAAAGTATCAAATTCCAAGGCTGTCTGTGTTCATGTGTGTGGCAAAAAAGAGCTAACAAGGACCAATGAAATAAAAGGTATCGGTGCGGTAGGAGCCACAGTAAATGCTTGTTTTCTGGTGTTTGGTCTTAAGCGCAGGGCCTCAATAAAGCCAGATAAGCCAGCACACTATACCTGGGAGCCATGTCCCCAGCCCAGTGATTCAGAGCCTCAGATTGCATGCTTTTTAAGGTATTGCGTTTGGCTTCGTGGAACACAGTGGAAAAGGGACTGGTTGGACAGTTATGTGTATGAGGTAAGGCACTGGACTGAGTGTTAATTTCCTGTGGCTAACTGAAAAAGTGTAACAAGGAGTTGGGATAGCTAGTGTATTTCTGCGCATCAGCCAAAAACAACTCAAGTCGCATCAGAAAATCTCAGATGAAGACGGCTCATTACAAAGTGCATTACTATACAATGGTATGAGAACAAGGGGAAATGTCACAGTTATCTAAAGATACAGGAACTTCAAAAGAGGGCTAAGTCCTCGAAGTGGAAGGTGACCGAGACAGGGTATCATCCTGTATCAATATACTGGCCCACAGTACTGGCTAGATGATGAAACTTTGCCTCGGTCGCAATGGTCAGGCAGAAATTGGATGATTACCAAAGTCACCATTGACAGGACTGATGCTTTTGTAGTAAAAGGATGGCGTTAGTACCTTCCAAGGCCTCATTTCAGCAATTTGAGATGTCAGGAAACTTGATCAAAAGTTGGGTACTGTAGTCAGATCTTAACTGAAAAAGTACATCCTTAAAGAACATGCTCTGAATGGTGACATTTTACTTGTGAGTAAGTCAGATTGCAAATTTAATTAAGTTTGTTATTTTCCTTTTCCTCCCTTTAGTTGAACAATATTAGTTGAACAATATTAGTTGGCAACAAATATTAAAAGTATTCATTAGGTTATATCTTTTTTTTAAGTGATGTATTTGAAGAAAGAGGAGCCAGTTTATGCTGTTTTGAAGTAAATACTTAGGCTGAAACTAGTAATATATGACATTCATGTTCAATCTCCCATTTTCCACAATAGATACCGCATTAATTCGGTTGAGCAATATTTCTATTATTTAAAAAGAAAATTGATCATTCAGTTTGATTTATAAACGTCTGACAATAGAGATTGCATTAATTAGGTTCAGCAATATTTCTATTATTTAAAAGGAAAATGGATCATTCAGTTTGATTTATAAATGTTTGTTTGAATTGAGATTACTATAGGGATTTACCATAAGCAATAGAATTCTGAAATGATACACCTGGGGGCCATATAAAGAACTATTGTCCATAGGAGAAGCAAGGAAGCCATTGCAGATCACATATGAAGTTACTGCCACTTGTCCACTCTATTCTTGATTTAATGTATAAATACTAACTAGACTAAGGTCCTGGTGAACTCTCACGAAGTTAGCATTAGAGTAAGGTTATATACCAGAGGCGTTCACTTATATTTCCTGTAACATCCAGTGTCCTCACTGAGAGACCAGGTCTTCACATCAGCGGGTCAGGAAAAAAGTGAACTGGTTTCCAAGCACAGAATGCAAAACGGTTACTTCTACTGTGTCTGCCTAATATTTTTGCCTGACTTACTTGTATGCATAAAAACTGCTAAAAGTTATTGCATACATTATCAATGTATTCATTAAGTGAAAGTTGAAAATCCAGTAATTTGGGTTTGGTATTTTCTTAATGCTGTAAGCTTGTAAGAATTCAGTATTCATGGACCACAAAATACTAATAACTTCTGTGTATAAATATCAAAGTTTTTTTGCCAGTCATTTAAATTGGAATTACAAAATTTAAATAACTTACTATGTTGCCAATCCAAGTTCCTGCATAAATAGTACACAAGCATTGGCTGACAGATCGATTTTGCATTCCTTTTTTTTTTTTCATTTTCAGAGCACTAGGCACCTGCCTTATTTTAAGCTATCTTCTGATATCTTTCTTGCTAGGTAAGAATCAGTGTTAACTCCTTTAAGCAGCATTTAAGGTACCAGCTGAGAAAAAGAGTTCTTAGGTTCTTAAGGCTTGTGTGTATGAGTGTTTTGTCTACATGTCTGTGTTTTGTCTACACGTACGTGTCTACATGTTCAGTGACCTAAGAGTCCAGAAGACTGTTGGATTATGGATGACTGTGAGCCACACCGCGTGTTGTGAACCAAGTCTAGGAACTCCCCAAATGCTCTTTACCACTGAGCCAACTCTCCACCCCTAGAACTTGACCTCTTAATTTGCATAAATGTTTCATAAAATGTTTTGGTAGTTTGCATTTATATTTGACCTAAGGGACATCTTGTCCACATAATTGTCTTGATTTATAATAAAGAAC